TGGAAGTTGAGATGCCGAAAAAGTGCACGCCGTTGTAGCTCGAAGCACATTTCCAAGTCAAAATGTCCAAAACACACCATGCTCGGACCACTTTTGGAAGTTGAGATGTCGAAAAAGTGCACGCCGTTGTGGCGCGAAGCACATTTCGAAGTCAAAAGTGTTAAAAACTGACGAGTTCAGAGCACTTTTGGAAGTTGAGATGTCGAAAAAGTGCACGCCGTTGTGGCGCGAAGCACATTTCGAAGTCAAAAGTGAAAAAAAAGACAAACTCAGAGCACTTTTGGACGTTCAGATGTCGTTGCGCGTGGCAGGCGCAAGGGGTTGTGCACCTTTTCAAAAGTGAGCAAAACGTGAGGGTTTTGCAGCATTTCCAAAAACGATGGCAGGCGTGGGACATTTGAAGAGGATCTGCAAAGATGCATTTTCCGTGGCAGGCGCAGTACAAGAGACATGTTCATCAGAGATGTTAGGAGGTCCGGGCGCTGATTTCTTTGGAGGGGTTGCATTTTGGAGCATCAGATCTTCAGTTTTGGGAAGATGATGTTGCGTGACAGGTGCAGCACTTCGTATGACCTGGCATCACTTTTTCCTGGCAGGCGCAGTACTTTATATAGACAGGTGGAGTTGGAAAATCGCAAAACGCATTGGTACGAGGCTGTCAGCTCTGCACTCATCTTTCCATTTTTAAAGGAAGTGTCGCAGAATTGTTTCGTGCTTGATGTTGTCAATTTCGAAAATTGAGGAAGTCTCGCAGAATTGCTTCGTTTTTGATGTTGTCAAGTTCAAAAAATTGAGGAAATCTCGCAGAATTGTTTCGTTTTTGACGTTGTCAAGTTCAAGAATTGAAGAAGTCTCGCAGAATTGTTTCGTTTTTGATGTTGTCAAGTTCAAAAATTGAGGAAGTCTAGCAGAATTGTTTCGGTTTTGGTGTTGTCAAGTTCAAACATTGAGGAAGTCTCGCAGAATTGTTTCATTTTTGACGTTGTCAAGTTCAAAAATTGAGGACGTCTCGCAGAATGGATAAGTAGATGGGTGGATAGGTAATAGGTAGATGGGTACGAAGATAAATACATGGATGGATGGATGGATAGATAGATGGATAGATAGATGGATAGAGGTAGCTAGGTAGATTGACAGATAGATAGGTAATGAGATTGGGTGCAGATTTTTTTTTGTTTTTTCTCACTATTTGCTACATTTTGGAGCAAAAACTTGTACTTTGCTGAATTTTGGAGCTAAAATGTGCCATTTGCACTGTTCATCGGTTTTTCCACGGCTTTAGTCGGTCTTCCATGGTGTTCATTGATTTACCTAAAGTTTTCATGGATTTTTCCATAGTTTTCATTCAGTTTCCCATTGTTTCAATTGATTTTTCCATGGCTTCGATCGATTTTTCCATGCATAACATGCACCTAGTGAACATGTAGAATATAGGTTGAAGCACAGCCGTGTTGGATCTAAATAGTGGCACTGGATGCTATCATAGTGTTGGTTGGTTTAGGGTTTATTTAGGGCTGGTTTAGGGTTATTTAGGGTTGGTTTAGGGTTTACTTAGGGATTGTTTAAAATTTATTTAGGGTTGGTTCAAGTTTATTTAGGATTATTTTAGGGTTGGTTTAGGGTTTATTTAGGGTTATTTAGGGCTGGCTTAGATTCATTGGTTTAGGGTTTACCTAGGGTTGGTTTATGGATCCCCCTTACAATTAGAAGCTGCACCCGGGGGGCGCGATTTATAAGAGCTTCCTTATGAAATGAGAGATCCATGGTACCAAATGCTTATATAATGGCAATTATCCAGACTACAGCAATATAGGGAATACCAATTAACATTTTATAAAGAAAACATCAAGCTTATTAATTGACGGACCATAGGTACCAAAATCGCCTCAATATCGCTTACATACCTTGATTTCAAAATTTACTTTTTTTTAGGGCTGCAAACTCCATTTTATAAGGTGGGAGTGGAAATACTACCAATTTATACTCAGATAGAATTGAAGGTGACAAACTGTCATTCTATAAGGCACCTCCAGGGCATCTTATAAGAACAAAAACTGTGCAAACCTGATTTCTCCGGGATTCTCCGGGTATGTTTTTCTCAGTTTGTGCTGGTAAAACCTGTAATTATCAAAGAAATTGTTTATATTGCAAAGATTTGCAAAGTAAGTGTACCTTATAAGGCTTTCCGAACCATCATTTTATAAGGCAATGTTCTCCAAATGTTTATTAAATGACAACTAGAGTCTATACATGACAAGTTTAAAAGGAACCATGATTTTATAACCCCAACATGTAGTAAAAAAAATATACAAATATATTTTTTTATGCTGACCCCGCCCCCCATGTTTTCTCCTGAGGAGATACGGGGGTTTGCCATTTTATAGCCCCCAGAAAAAGGGGCGGTTTATAAAATGACAGTTTCAAGTAGGGATTTTCCCAAAGCCGTTATTGCAAAAGACTTCGGTTTATAAGCAATTGTAATTTTTGATTTTACCCCTGGGTCCCCGATTATTTTTTATAAATCGCGCCCCCCGGGTGGCGCCATTTTATAAGGGATATTATAAGGGGGATGTTTATGGTTGGTTTAGGGTCATTTAGGTTATGTTTAGGTTTGGTTTAGGGTTTATTTTGGATTTGTTTAGGGTTTATTTAGGGCTGGTTTAGGGTTTATTTAGGCTTGGTTTAGGGTTTATTTAGGGTTGGGTTAGGCTTTATTTACGGTTGGTTTAGATAAATAGATAGGTCGATAGATAAGTAGATAGATAGAACGATGAAATAGTTCAAAAAAGATAGATTAAATAGACAGATTAAAAAGACTGATTAAATAGACAGATTGACTAGATAGATTACTGTAAATAGAAAGATTAAATAGACAGATTAAACAAACAGATTGAAAAGATAGATTAAATAGATAGATTAAATAGATAGATCAAAAAACATAGATTAAATAGATAGATTGAGTAGATTACATAGATAGATCGATGGATAGATAGATAGATAGACAGAAAGATAGACAGACAGATAGATAGATAGATAGGTAGATAGATAGATAGACAGATAGATAGATAGATAGATAGGTAGGCAGATAGAGAGACAAATAGATAGATTAGACATTTCATGAAATAGATAGAGTACATAGGTAGATTAGATAGATAGATTAGGTAGATAGATTAACTATATAGAAAGGTTAACTAGATAGATTAACTAGATACATGGATTACATATATTAAATAGATAGATTAAATAGATAGATCAGTAAAAGAACAAATAGATAGATTTAAACAGATAGATTAAATGGATTAGATTAGATTGGATTAGATTTTTACAGAGAGAGAGACAAGTAGGTAGGTAGACAGATAGATAGATTAGGTAGGTAGATTAGGTTGATAGGTTAGGTAGGTTAGATAGAGAAGATAGATACGATAGATAAGATAGATAAGATAGATAAGGTAGATAAGATAGATAAGATAGATAAGATAGATAAGAAAGATAGATAGATAGATAGGTAGGTAGATAGATAGGTAGATAGATAGATTTATTAGATAGACAGATTAGGTAGATAGATTAGATAGATGGATGGATGGATGGATAGATAGATAGATAGATTAGATAGATTAGATAGATTAGATAGATAGATAGATTAGATAGATTAGATTGGTTAGATTGATTAGAATAGATAGATAGATAGATAGATTAGATTAGATTAGATTAGATTAGATAGATTAGATAGATTAGATAGATTAGATAGATTAGATAGATTAGATAGATTAGATAGATTAGATAGATTAGAAAGATTAGATAGATTAGATAGGTTAGATAGATTAGATAGATTAGATAGAGTAGATAGAGTAGATAGATAGATAGTTAGATAGATAGATAGATAGAAAGATAGATGAGATAGATAGATAGATAGATAGATAGATAGATTAGATAGATTAGATAGATTAGATAGATTAGATAGATTAGATACATTAGATAGATTAGATAGATTAGATAGATTAGATAGATTAGATAGATTAGATAGATTAGATAGATTAGATAGATTAGATAGATTAGATAGCTTAGATAGCTTAGATAGCTTAGATAGCTTAGATAGATTAGATAGATTAGATAGATTAGATAGATTAGATAGATTAGATAGATTAGATAGATTAGATAGATTAGATAGATTAGATAGATTAGATGGATTAGATAGATTAGATAGATTAGATAGATTAGATAGATTAGATAGATTAGAGATAGGTAGATTAGATAGATTAGACAGATTAGATAGATTAGGTAGATTAGATAGATTAGGTAGATTAGATAGATTAGATAGATTAGATAGACTAGATAGATTAGGTAGATTAGATAGATTAGATAGATTCAGATAGATTAGATAGAATAGATAGATTAGATAGATTAGATAGATTAGATAGATTAGATAGACTAGATAGATTAGGTAGATTAGATAGATTAGATAGATTAGATAGATTAGATAGATTAGATAGATTAGATAGATTAGATAGATTAGATAGATTAGATAGATTAGATAGATTAGATAGATTAGATAGATTAGATAGATTAGATAGATAGATAGATTAGATAGATTAGATTGGTTAGATTGATTAGAATAGATTAGATAGATTAGATAGATTAGATTAGATTAGATTAGATAGATTAGATAGATTAGATAGATTAGATAGATTAGATAGATTAGATAGATTAGATAGATTAGATAGATTAGATAGATTAGAAAGATTAGAAAGATTAGATAGGTTAGATAGATTAGATAGATAGATAGATTGATTGATTGGTTGATTGATTAAATAGATAGATAGATAGATTGATTAGATTGATTAGATAGATTAGATAGATTAGATAGATTAGATAGATTAGATAGACTAGATAGATTAGATAGATTAGATAGATTAGATAGATTAGATAGATTAGATAGATTAGATAGATTAGATAGATTAGATAGATTAGATAGATAGATTAGATAGATTAGATAGCTAGATAGGTAGATAGGTAGAGAGGTAGATAGGTAGATAGATAGATAGATAGGTAGATAGATAGGTAGATAGGTAGACAGGTAGGTAGGTAGGTAGATAGATAGGTAGGTAAGATAGACAGGTAGATAGACAGGTAGATAGGTAGATAAGTAGATGGGCAGATTGATTTTGAAAAAGATAAGAGAAGATAAGATAAGATTTAGATAGATAGATGAAATAGAAAGAGTAAATAGGTAGATTTAAACTATAGTTTAAATAGGTAGGTTACATCGATGAATTAAATAGATAGATTAAATAGATAGATTAAGCAGATAGACTAAATAGAGAGATTAAATTAAACAGATTCAAAAGACAGATTAAAAAGACATGTTTAATAAATAGCTTAAATAAATAGATTAAATAAATACATGAAATAGATAGATTATATAGGTTGAATTAGACAGATTTGATTAGATTAGATAAACTTGATAAATTAGATACATTAGATAGATTAGGTAGACTAGATAGATTTAATAGGTTTGGTAGATTAGATAGATTAGATAGATTAGGTTAGATTAGGTTAGATTAGATAGATAGATAGATAGGTAAAGCATGGTAAAGCCACAACAGCCACACACCCACAAAAGCCACAGAAGCCACAAAAGCCACAAAGCCAGGCTGGACACAAAAAAAACAAAAAAACAAAAGAATCGGAAAAAATAGCCCTCCAATTAGTTGGAGCACGGCCTTTAGAAGGCCGTGCTGTTTCGTGGACATCGGGGGGGTGGGGTGGGGTGGGGCGGGGCGGGGGCATGTATTAACTTGCAGAGGAAGGACATGCATGCTTGTCTGTGGCTGCCGGTAGGTGCATGTATGCACGGGTGGGGTGGGGTGGGGTGGGGTAGGGCATCTAATGACGTTCATGTGAACTTGCGGAGGAAGGACATGCTTCTCTGTGGCTACTGTAAGTTCTCTGGAACTCTCCACTCATGCGTCATGCCACGCTATGTAAGTTCTCTGGAACTTTCCATTCATACGTCATGCTACGTTACTGTAAGTTCTCTGGAACTTTCTTCTCATGCGTCATGCCACGCTATTGTAAGTTCTCTGGAACTTTCCACTCATGCGTCATGCCACGCTATTGTAAGTTCTCTGGAACTTGCCACTCATATGTCATGCCACGTTACTGTAAGTTCTCAGAAATCAGGAGATGTCAACTGGAATCTTGGGCAAATAGTCAACCACACAAAGAAATGGGGTTTCGCCTAGGCGAAATGCTTGCTTTTTGATTTTATGAACCAGAATAATGGGTTTCTGGCCTTTAAAATCATATCAAACCATTACAGGTCGAATTAGTTGGGGAGTTCTGAGAAACATCAAAAATGATAGTTTCGCCTAGGCGAAATGCTAGTTTTTGATTTTATGCACCAGAATAAGGGGTTTCTCGCCTTTGAAACCACATGACCACATCAAACATCATCCATGACACCCCGTTGATCACAAAAACACCACGGCCTTCTAAAGGCCGTGTTCCTAGTTAGAGAGAGAGAGAGATAGATAGATAGAATAGAATAGAACAGAACAGAACAGAATAGAACAGAACAGAACAGAATAGATAGATAGATAGATAAATAGATAGATAGATAAATAGATACATCGATAGATACATAGATAGGTAGGTAGATAGTCAGAGAAAGAGAGAGAAAGAGAAAGAAAGAGAGAGAAAGAGAGAGAAAGATAGGATACCTAAACCACCTTTCGGTCCATCAGTGGATTCGCTCCGCCACCTGTGGTTCACAACAGCCAACCTCTCCTATAGGTTTCCTATTTTTGAAACATCCGCCACCGCCGTGCGCGGAACTACTGTTAATGTATGTATGTCTTGAAGGTTTGTGATTGTTGACGCAGGCGACGCCTGAACCAATGGATAGACATTGTTTGTCATCTTCGACTAACGAGACGCGGAAAACGCTTCAGAGGTGTTCTCACACTTGCAATGGTTTCTGCAGTTTGGCGAGGGTTGCTCCATGCTCAAACCCTTTCACCAAGAGCTTTAAGACCTTCTTGATCTTTTGTCCGTTTGCAAGGGCCATTTAGACAAGTCTTTTCCGTACCTTCAACGATTTTTTTTTGTCGAATCCTTCCCAATTACTAGACGGACCTTGATTTCTACATCGCGGTGCAGCCTGAACATAAACAACATGGAACCTGCTGAGGCGGTGTGGGCAGCCAGTTGGTAGCACGTGCCGTAGAAGAAGCATTTGGCATGAACATTGCAGAGTGCCCTCCCTGTGTTCAACCTACTTGTATTTCTTTTCATTTTGAATATATAGATGGCCTCAGGACTTGTTGACAACTAAAGGTTCAAGGTTTGGGTGGGACAGCGTGGCGGCAGAGCCTTGGATGCTGGGTAGTCTAACACTCTAAATCATTGCCTGCATATTGCAGAGCTTCGCACACTGGCGATGCTGTAAGGGTTGGGTATTCTGTGCAAAACTTGTTTTTTGTGCGCGATTTCTGCGTTTCAATCCACGCCCTCTTATTTTGTGGCACCTTAAAATCGACATATAGGTGGTATTTGGTCCTATTTGAAGACCATCAGGGCAAAAACCTTGCAAGTACCTTTTTATTGGGCCCCCTGGAAACCAACAAACCCAAACCACGGTAATGACCACGTTGTTCGCAAACCATTGACCAAAGACGCTGTTGTTTATGTTGCAACAGCTGGACAATGCAAATGCAACGGGCACAAACATCGTAAATTAATGTAAATTACAATGTGCTAGCTGCCAAGCCACATTCAAAAGAAACCAAAAGTTGCCAAACAGGTTTCAATATATATATATATATAATATATAGATAGATAGATAGATAGATAGTGTGGGGTGCCGCTGTGTTCAAGAGCTCCTCCACGCAGGCTACCACAGGATCACCTGATTTTTGATGATGTTTCGGGGGCCGGTGCCAAGGCCACGACGTCACATACCTTTGACAAAGCATGAACTCTGGGGAAGTGAACGTGAGGGTTGGAGGCAGGGCTTTCTTTCTACCTATGTCGCTCTCTCTCTCTCTCTCTATATATATATGATATGTATAGGGAAGTAGCAGCACCAAGGCCCACCAAAATCGAAAGTTATTCAAAAACAGTTTTCCATCACACCCGCTTATTGCTGATATTTGCAGCGACGTGGTGGAAGTTTTTGCGTCTCTGACGAGGTGTCGCGCACGTCGTGGCATTTTAACTTAACTATTGGCTTTCTCGTTGAACGATTCTAGGAAGGTGTTCGGATTGTTTTTGATTTTGGCGCAAGATTTCCTTCACCGGAGGGCAATGGCAACGCGACACATGCCGCGTCTGTCAGGAGTGCACAGCTTAGAAACAATGCAAACAACAAACAAGGTCAACGTTTCAGCGGGATCGTGTCCGCCTTCCTGAGGGTCTTGTCTCCCATTGTACCCCTTCTTGTTTCCCTTTTTTGGATGGTGTGTCCGCCTTCCCGAGAGTCTTGTCTCCCTTTGTCTCCCATTGTACCCCTTCTTGCTTCCCTTTGTTGGATTGTGCTGTGAGCCCGCCTTCCCGATGGTCATGTCTCCCTATGTCTCCCTTTGTCTCCCATTGTGCCCCTTGTTTCCCTTTGTTGGATGGTGCGTCCGCCTTCCCGAGGGTCTTGCCTCCCTTTGCCTCCCATTGTACCCCTTCTTGTTTCCCTTTGTTGGATGTTGTGTCCGCCTTCCCGAGGGTCTTGTTTCGCTTTGTCTCCCATTGTGCCCCTTCTTGTTTCCCTTTTTTGGATGGTGAGTCCGCCTTACCAAGGGTCTTGTCTTCCCTTGTCTACCATTGTACCCCTTCTTGTCTCCCATTGTACCCCTTCTTGCTTCCCTTTGTTGGATGGCGTGCCCGCCTTCCTGTGTGTCTTGTCTCCCTTTGTCTCCCATTGTACCGCTTCTTCCTTCCCTTTGTTGGACGGTGCATCCGCCTTGTCTCCCCTCGTCTTCCAATGTACCCCTTCTTATTTCCCTTTGCTGGATGGTGAGTCCACCCTCACGAGGGTCTTGTCTCCCTTTGCCTCCCATTGTACCCCGTCTTGTTTCTCTTTTGTGGATGGTCTGTCCACCTTCCCGAGGGTCTTGTCTCCCCTTGTCTTCCATTGTACCCCTTCTTGTTTCCCTTTGTTGGATGGTGCATTCACGAGGGTCTTGTCTCCCCTTTGTCTCCCGCCCCTTTTTGGAGCATCCAGGCCGCTGACGGGACAAAAAGGGGTTCAGCAGCAGGAAAAGGAAGCAAGTCTGAAGTCGGGTTGCGGGAGACCCTTTTTAGAGGATCCAGGCCGCTGACAGCACAAAAAGGGGTCCAGCAGCGGGAAATTGAAAGGTATATGTATGATTATCGTTTTTGTGGGGTCCCTTCCCAAATAACAACGACGGGGTCCCAGTCTTTTTTTGTACCGTGTTCTTTTTATTGTTCTTGTTGTTCTTCTTCTTCTTCTTCTTGGTGGTGGTGGTGGTGGTTGTGGTTGTGGTTGTGGTGGTGGTGGTGGTGGTGGTTGTTGTTGTTGTTGTTGTTGTTGGTTGTTGTTGGTTGTTGTTGGTTGTTGTTGTTGTTGTTGTTGTTGTTGTTGTTGTTGTTGTTGTTGGTTGTTGTTGGTTGTTGTTGGTTGTTGTTGGTTGTTGTTGGTTGTTGTTGGTTGTTGTTGGTTGTTGTTGGTTGTTGTTGGTTGTTGGTGGTTGTTGGTGGTTGTTGGTTGTTGGTTGCTGGTTGTTGTTGGTGGTTGTTGTGGTTGGTTGTTGTCGTTGGTTGTTGTCGTTGTTGGTTGTTGTTGGTTGTTGTTGGTTGTGGTTGTGGTTGTGGTTGTG